GGTACTCTAAACAATTAAGCTCATAACATTCTACTTCTGTACCTACCGAAACTGCAAACCCTGCTTCTTCTTAAGTGCGACACACTGTATGTCATAACATTTAGTTATGTTTCTAATGCAGGGTGTTTCGTTAATTAAATGTGTATGGTTTACATCAATAGGCTTTGCACAATTGGATCGTCTACAAAAATTCGAATACTTGGCCAATAGTGTTTTGTACCACTTAAGCCAGTTTTTGAATACAACATTTTCTAGATTTCCTTAATATTTATTGAGACAGGAACCGTAAATCATCTTCGATATCAGCATTCCGATCATCGTATATCATTGTTGAATATTGCCACCTATTAATAACGTGTTTTAGAACTTGGATGCCTTGCACGACCACTTAGGAACTCTTTACCCAGGAATGAAAGCTCCGTCTTTTCGATGCACTGAACGGCCAGAAGATGGCGCCCTGGTATTACATTACTATTCAGATCGACCTGGTTTGGAACATATCGTTATTGGTATTGTAAAGGTATTAAATTGATCTTCTTGCATGAGATGTGTTGTAAAATTTCTACGAACACTCTAGTCTAAAAAGTAATTCGTCTCATCGTCTCGTCTCTCGTCATTCACCGTCTCATCTCAAGGCTAGCAGATAGACTTTTTAATAAGCTATAGAAAATGTTATTTTTAGTAAAATCCGCATTAAAAATGTTGTATCGAATCTGTATAAAATTTTCCCGAAACAATAGAAGCTTTGATTAACAATACACTTGTAGTGAACGATTTTTCTGTGAGAAAGTAGCCTCAATCTTTGAGTAACTTGCATCTCTAAAATTATTTCAGTTGGATAGAGCTGAAGTAAGAAGATTCAAATTTTAAATAATTAAACATTAAAGATTTACACATCAGAATACAGGCATACGAAAGGGCTAACGTGAGATCATTGTTTAAACACCCCTTGCGGTTTCTGTGTCTAATCTTTCTACTTCTTGTTAAATCTTCTTGTAAAATATTTTTTACTCGCAGTTGATAATTTAATTCTGTTTGATCTACACTGATGGACAAAATTAGCGCACGTAGAAACCACGTGGATGATCGTTTTATACGACTACAAGCTTTAATAAATCAGTTTAATACCGGAAATGAGATAAAGAATCGAATTCAAAAAGTCCGAAATGTTGCAATTTCTACCAAAACAGTAAGAAGAACGCACAATGACTCCGGATTGAGTGCAAAACATCCCGCAAACCGTCCTCTCGTAACAATAGCCCACAAGCAAGCTAAGCTTGAGTTGCTCGAGACGTGGATTGGGATTTCGATGACTGGAAGAAAGCCTTGTTTACTGATAAAGTTAGAGTAGGTTTAAATATTCGGATGGGCGAGTCTTTATTTGGAGAAGACCAGGAGGAATACCGGAAAATAATGGCAGACCGCACCGAGCTCTGATCGTGCGTGAATATCGTAATGAGGTTGGCATTCAACGTTTAGTGTGGCCAGCGCGTAGTCCTGACCTTAACGTGATTGAACCTGTTTGGGATCAGCTCAAACGACGTATTCGACGACGAGATCTTACTCCTGAGAACTTGGCTGAACTGGAAAACGCGGTTCTTCAAGAATGGCATAACATACCCCAAGAATTGATTAGAAAGCTTTTATATGGCATTTCAAGACGTTTGAGGGACATTATTCGAGCTAGATGCGTCAATACACCCTATTGAATCGATTAAAGACGGAAACTTTACCTGAATTTGACTGAAATAAACTAGTGATTTATGTTTTGTTTTAATTTTTCTTTCGAAAACATTCTCGTATTACTTTAAAATACAATAATTTGAATTTTGATAAAGGTTTGTAGGGTTTATAATATTTTTTTCTTTGAACTTTATAGATGGTGCGCTAATTTTGTCCATCAGTGTATTTTAAAATATTTGTAGGCCACTATCAGTGATACAGATTTATCTTTTAGACGGTGGCTAGCAAGCTTCACAACACAGAAGTGGAAATTGAAATTCTGAAAACTAAAGAGGAATGCGATCACGTTCAGTTTCTGATTACGGAGAAATCGGGTCCCCAAAGGCCACTAGCTCCTCAAATTGACGAAATAGAAACTTTATCCCTAGGTAAAATATATATATCGCTGGTTGATAAATTATGTTTTTTGGTAATTAATTTTAATATATGACTAGATTAACGTGGAGTTTATATAAGGTGGTACCAAATAGGCGTCATTTTTCGAGAGGAATTGTAAAGTTAAGTAGAATTCAGACGTTGGTCTTAAGACCAACGAATACAACACAAATAGCTACTTAAATGTTTGTGCCCAAGTGGTAAATCGTGTTACTAGAAGAGAGAATCTATCGATGTTGGTGCCAGTGATAACGTTTTAATCAAAATAACTTCTTTGCTTTTTGTGCTCTTTCGTTCTGCGTGTGACGTTTCTTCAAATAACTTTTCCTATAATTTTGTTTTCATTTCTTTGGGTTATTTTGACGGACTTGTTAATTTACGATTTTTATATTTTACATATCAAAACGTATTTTACCTTGTTTTCGAGAATATTATAATAGTTGCTACATCTTTCCCTGATCTGAAGATCTGAGGTTAGCCACTCAGGAAGAAATTATATCTGTTTAATGTGATGACCACAGTGTGTGTAGTCTCCTGACAGGAGCTTTTAGATGCGTGATTTGACTGAATCTTCAGACTTACATAACAGTTGTTTTAACTTACGTTAGCTATAATTAATACTATTATCTTAACTGCTTTGAATGTTTTCCAACGACGGTCTCTTTACAAAACAAAACCGTTTCATTCAGCTATTAAAAATATTGACTTCGAAACCCAAATAATATTCTTATAACCGGTGATAAACCAGGCCATGCTGATGACATAAATAGCATTCCTTATCCATGCACGACCATCTGCATAACTGCCCACATATTTGGTGAAGTATAATTTTCCTATCATGTGACATGAATCCGTAACTAGACGGCTCATTGATAATAGTATATTATAAATAATAACTAGTGCGATTTAACGGAAGAAATTTGCTTTGAATTATAATTATGGTCTAGTTGGTAGATCTTAATCAACTACCATCATATAGTTTAAAATAGCATTTTTAAATAACTAGTTATTTAATTATAATAGCTAAAGACAAATTTCTTCAGTTATTCCATATATTTTGTTTCATTTGCGGAGTTTGAAAATGATAATACTTTTAATAGAACAAGCGTGCAATGTGCCCAATCGTGTGCAACCTTTGAAGTCGATCGAATTTGCTAATCTTATTAAAAACAATCATAACATACAATCGGAATGTTCAGAATTTATTGACAAATGATGCTCTGTTACAGTCGGTGCTCTCATAGTTTATTTTAAAGTTGCTCGTAACAGACAAGGAAAGATTTAACTTTGTTAACGGTTAAGGTGCATCCCTGGCCACATCAGTCATCTGACTTGAACTCGTGTGATTTTTGTATTATTCCAATCAAAGGAAATGAAGATTTGTGTTATATTGTGGCTAAAATACAAATTATTTTATATATAATCCTGGTTGTGGATTAATTCAGCCCTTGAATATCAAATAGGGCCACACGCTTTCGAGTGTTAAGTCATCATCCGGGCCGCTGGAAACACAAAAAGTAGAGATAAGCACCCTTAGGGAGTCAAGAACATGAATAGAATAAGATATGGTAAACAACTTGTTGTTCATTATAAGCCAACCCCAAGAGTGCAGAACACAGCATGCCAACCAACGGTAGGGCGGTCAGAGAAACACAAAAAACACGACGGAAAACGGACCAGCATGAAACTGCTCACATTAAAGTTCTTAAAATTATGTTCACAATTAAAATTAAACACTAACATTTAGAATTACAATTGACATCAAAATCCCTTTAAATTAAAAAAAAAATCAAAAATTTAAACGTTGAAATAAAAAACCCTGGACTGGTCGAAATAAGTAGTCAAGCGACCAGTCCAATACTGAGATAATGTTGGTTCTCGGCAATTCAAAAAACACGCGGTAAATTATCTTGGATGGAAGAAAAAGATGGTTAATGGATTAAATACTGGTGGAATTATCATATACAAAAAACGGAAAAATTGAAAATTGCTCCAACCAGAAACCCAACAACAACAACAAATTGGAAACAGGTAAATTCGTTAAGCAGCAAAACAAACAAACAACAATTTACAGTCTCAAACCCAACCCCACAAGTACTGCGGGGAACGTGCGAGAGAGTCCAGTAAGGTAACAACTTTCAGAATTTTTTCAATTAAATAAATTATGATTTGAAAAAGGTTGATTTCACAGCTTAAAGTGTAAATGCAAATTTGTAACTTTGTAAATTATCTATCTAATGGCGTATTAATGTACAGGTGCTTTCATTTGGAAAACAATATGGCGTTAAAAAGTTTTAGATTCAAATCCACAATGTTAACACCCTGTACAATATTGTACATTGTATTAATAGTTTGGTGCAATGGAGTTCTGAACGGATCTGTGGTGATTAGAAAGACGTATTTTTTGTATCTTTAACTGCTTTTTTTTGCTTCTACAATGAATTTTTAAATATCATGTTTTTAAGCAAAATTTAACTAAAATGGCGAAATCTCCGAACGTCGCAAGTAAGGAAAAAACAATTTACGGTGCATATGCAGCGTTTCAAGCTGCATTTCATGAGCTAATAAAAAATGGGTAGTTCTATTTTGAAAAATAGACTGTATCTTGCCTCGCTTTTCTGAGACACTCTACTCTGTATTATATAAAATATTTTTTAAATGTGCGCACTTTGTGCCTCAACAACTTTTATTTTTTTATACACTAAAAAACCACCCTGTATATAGGTTTCTGCGCGTCTCGTTATTTTTCGAAAATTATAATAAGGAGTTGGATGTGCTCAGGTTCCTTGTCGTCAGAAACAATCATACACCATCGACTGTTGATTCCTTAATATGTATGGTCAGGAACAGGCTGAGAGCTGCTGAGGCTTCGGGTAGTCTTTTTGACTCCAGTGGTCCCAGGTACTATTATTAATTGCCATATCTGGGCCCTGTTTTACAAAAGGTAGCTAAACGTTTCAGGGGTCTGGAACATGTAAATATCGCATTCAGGTCTGACAACAGCCTGGGAAGAGTTTTGTGCCGTGATAAGAACGCCATTAACGCGCCAGATAGAAGCGGTGTATCTGATCCTGATGATGACTTAACTGTCGAAAGCGCTTGGCCATATTTGATATTCAAGGGTTTAATTAAACCGCACATAGGTTTACATATACACACTATAATACAAATTTACGTCTCCTTTGATTGAATTTTCTTCCGTATGTACACACCCGTTTCTTCCTTTTTTATGATTGTTAAGACAAATTTTAAATAAGACAAGTTTCAAATAAAACCAATCATGATTTAGAAGTGTTGTAGATAGTTCAACATTAAGCAGTTAATATGGACATTTGCAAAAGTATATACTATAGACAATTTCGAAAATGAAATTAATGTTTTGGTTTCAACTTTTAGTCTGCAAAGAACCACTATAATCAACAAATTTCAATTGGAATATGATTTTCATAGAGGAAAACGAATGAAACGATCTTAACTAAATTCTTACTTTCATTCGACAGAAACATATAGATAACACTCATCTTTTTTCTCCACCTCATCACCAGCAAAGAACGGTCTACTAATAATTGAAAAATAGTTAGATTTTCGACGCGTTTTTCTTGACGATTCTTGATTGCCTCTAAAGATCAATGAACAAATTTATACGCAAATCAGCTTATCAGTAAATTAGTCATCACACAATAGAATACAAATTTAAAGAAAAATGTTGGGTAACTATAAAAGATACTTTTGAAAGCAATTTGAAGGCATCAAGTGCAACATTTACAAACCAGACCTTAAACTCGTTTTTGCTCCATCGAGCTGTTCATGTTATTTGAAAGTAATCTATTTTGAAAATAATATTGAGTACACAGAACACAAACGCCAATTCTCAAAATAAGATTTCGGTGCAATATTTCGCAGAAGGTCGATTCTCATATATTGACTTTCTTTAGTGGCTATAAAACACCACGGATAACTGTAATTTTCTGCAAGCATTATGTCGATGCACGACCTAAAATTAATACATTTATTTATTGGCTAATCTCAAAAGCAGAATTTTATTATCAAACAAATGATTCAAAAGTGATTTATGATCACATTTCTTCATGTCTTCATTCATTAAAAAAGTAAAATTTGAAAAGGTTAAAACTAAATACTTTTGATTTGCTATAGATTGTGATCGTACAGAATATGAAAACTCGAATATGAAGTGTTTGTTATATTAAATTATGACAAGTGTTTCAATATTGTGAGATTATGTTTCTGCATTCTTTGCATTCTTTCATTCACCTCGCAGACTTAAAGGTATCGAAAAACGTAATTCTAGTATTAGCTTATGAAAGGTTGATTCGCTTTCCAATAACCGGATGAAATGCCGCCTTTTTGCTGACCCTCATTGATCAACTAGCTGAATATTGCCATAACTTTTACCACTGTTTCTGAGAATGAACCCTCATCAATTTCAGAGCCAAAAGTGAGCGCATCGACTTTCTGCAGGGTTTTTCCTTTCCACATTATTTTCGACAGGAATTTGCAAATTGTACAGACTGGGTCGACGGTTGCAAGAGTTATTCCCAAGGTGATCGAGGACGAGTGTTTAGTCACTGATATTTTGGATCCGGTTAGTGTATTCATTCTTTAATAAATATTTTCAGGTAGATGGAATGCTAATTAACAAACGCTGACTGTATAGTCACCCGCATATAAGCCGCATTGGATATTTATGAAATATTTAATGCAAATTCTACTATGTGCGTTCTCTATTCATTACAGAAAAAAAAACGTTACCTTACATACTTAAATTTTGTTGTAAAATTTTCTACACATTTAATTATCTTCAGATTTAACCATTCAGCTTATTTGATTAAATATGTGGTTTTCTGCTACTTGTGTTTTTAGATTCGCCCACACTTGGAGTTAACATTTGAGAATATTCTATCTCATATAAACACGATATATGTTCTAAAAACTAAACATGGAGTTATGCAAGTTGATGCACCTCCAGAATATCGATTCCTTCGCTTGAAAGGACAGATGCTTTACGTTTCCGAACGTGACTTGGTTGTGTTCCTGGGATATCCCAGTGTAATGAATCTGGATGATTTGACCAGGCAAGTAATAAATATTTTATTTCTGTTAGTTTAGACTCAACTAAGAGCTCACCTGGTTATCTGGTACTTAAAAGAGTTTTAGCTAGTTTGCAATGCTTTTTTCCTCCAAATCTTCTGTTTTCCCTCCATCCATCCTCACCTTACCACCCCTGATCTTTGCCACCCAGGGGTCCCGTCTCCCTGACAAAGGCTAGGATCCGTCTCCACATTCGAGGCGGGAGCGTGCGGAGGCCCCAAAGAAGGGCCTCCTAGTAGACGACCACCGATGGCAGACTCCTAATAGGTGGTATGACTTTTACTCCGCTATTCCACATTGTGGACACACGGGGCTATTGCCAATTGGTAATAGGTGTAAGTGTCTGTTGAGACCACAGTGGCCTGTCATAACCTCAACCAAAGTTCTCAGGGCCCAGCGACTCCTTGACATCAACAATTTAGATGTTCCCTTGGGGTCACTTGGGATTCCTATCAACTCTTTGGCTTAGCTGCACCTTTTCGTCTGTCTCCACATCTGTGTGGTGCCTCTAAGAGCCGCTAGCTACCTGTGGGTTACTTAACCTTATGTTAGGTTCGGCAGTTCTCGGGGCTGGGTTCTCAGAAGATCCGAGCCTTGCTAATGCATGGTATACACAAGGTTAGCTCAGGGAGGACGAGAGGAAGTCATGCTCATTGCGCCGATCAGAGCTAGTTAAGCCAGTCTTTGCAGACCCGCCAGTTTCCGAGATATGTACGCCTTTTCCACCGCCGGCCACCAGACCACGGGACCATAACCGATCCTCAATCTTATAACAGCAGTGAACAACCACTTCATAACATGTGGTTTTAGGTCCCAGTTTTTCCCAGAGCCCTTCGCAGGTGCCACATAGTGAGAGTACCCTTCTGCTTGACTTTCTCTACGTGGGGGTTCTACGTGTGTTTAGTATCTAGGGTCACGCCTAGGTACTTGACCTCTCCCGCGAGGGAAAGAGGTCTTCCGTACAACATTGTCGCTCTATACTCCTTTATTTTTCTTTTCCTTGTGAACAGTTTTATCTCCATTTTGTTAGGATTAACTGCTAATCCGGCGTCG